TGGGGAATTCTGGGAGTTGAAGTCCACACGTCTTAAAGTCGCCAAGGTTGAGAAACACTGCATTAAGGAGTCTGAAGGTGCTAATGACATAGCAAAGGTGAGAGAAGGCCAAGGGGAAATATTTCTAAAAGGTAGTCATTCACAAGGAGATCAGAAACTGAAATTTCCCTGGGCCGCACAGGCACTCCAAGGAGTGTTGTGAAAGAAAAACAGCCCTGTTTTTTTTTTTTAAAAAAAACCCAATTCTGCAAGTGCAAAGACCATTACAAACTTTAAAAAAATAACAAAAGGACATTTTCTTCACTCAAAACGCCCCAGCAGTTTTTTTGGTTTTCCCCTCCCCCTTGCAGGATTTCAAATAAAAAAATCCTCAGAAATAATTGGCCATAGACCAGACTGGAGCTACGCAGCTTCGCGGTTGCCGCAGAAGCCAATTTCTTCGTTTCCGAAAGGGCTGTTCGATCTGCGGCATATACCTTGAATACATCTGGGAAATTAGAACCAAGCAGAAAGATCTATTTATCTCCCACCCACGCCTGCAAAAAGCACGGAGGGGGTTGTGATTGTGTGATCCAAGCGTGCCCCTTTGTACTGCATCGATGTTGCACACCCTCGTACAAAGGCGCGGGGCTTCAACCGAGCAGCTGCAACAGCTGTGTTGCCGGGAACACGGGCACGTATCTTTATTCTCTTCCTGCTCCTTCTTAAAAACGGACCGAATTTCTTTGGAATTGCCGCAGCAATATTTGTTTGCACAATTAACTTAGGCATGCCAGCAATGGCCCTATTTGCACAATTAACTTAGGCACGCCAGCAATGGCCCCTTTTAAACTGCGAGGTGTAGTTGCTCCTATTTCAGAGGAAGAGGTAGAGCGGGTATTACCTTTTCCCAACTCAAAATAAGACCTCTAATTTCCTTGGATGCCAAATCAAGCTCCCCCAGACACATTGACAAAAGCTTTTGCAGCGTTTAAGAATCCCCTATGTTGGACCAGGGATCCTGGCGGGAGAAAGGCGTACATAAAGATGCACCCCGCAGACCGAAAAAGGAGAAATATCACCTGGAGGATGAGGAAGCGCTAAGAGTGAAAAACAATCGCAGCGGATCGTTGGTGACCAAAGAGAGAGGGAGTTTCAGGAAACAAAGGCTTTAAGGGGCCATCCTTCTCCACTTCCAAAATGCACAATGCTAAATGCAAAATGCAAATCTTTTGCTCGGCAGAGTGCATTTGGCCGGCATTGTCGAAGACAAGCAAAGGGGAAGGGAGAGATGCATTTGACTGCAGAAGGAATTGGCAAATGGTTGATCCCATCATTTTCTTAAGGACTGGCGTTTGGGAAGCAACCAAGCAAGTTGGAATATGAGCAGACGGCAGAGCTGGCTTTAATCAGGAAATGGATGAGGAAGGGCTGCACCCATTTTGGCAGGAATGAATGGAAAACCATCTCAGAGACTAAATTTAATTCAGTTACAGCTTCCATTCATAGAAAGAACTGTGGCCTTTATAATGGACACAGAAGCAGTGGCTGTATCTTATATACAGGCACCATGGCTTGCAAGGAGAAGAGGACGGCAGAGGATGAGATGGTTAGATAGCATCACTGAAGCAATGAGCATGAAACTG